TTTCTAGGCCTGTAAATGGCATACCAGATCCAGAGTATTACCATGAACTTAGGAAGGGTTTTAATAACAAACAAATCAATTGATAATCATGCTTGAATCAGTCCAATGAGTTTCAGAAGACACTTATGAGATTTCCTCTTGACTTAAACCTTTTGTTCAATATATACAATTAACAAAACAAGATCTTATGGGATTATTAAATAAACAAACATGAATCTATCTCCAAACTAAGCATGTTTAACACATCACAAGCAAATCAGCACATAGCTTGACCCCTAGTCTATTTCCTTTCCTTTTGAACGTGACTTTATACTAATCAACACCTAAGAAGTATCAGTTACCCATTGTATGAACATAGCATTATATTATAACATCCACTTGAATTGCATAGTAGGAGAGATTTGATACATCATACCCTACTTAAATAGTAATAAACACAAAGTCCAACTACTGACTCGATTAACAAGATTTCATCAAGCTTTTGTGACAGTTCGAAATTAGGTACAAAAATAAAGTTCAATTATCACAAACCAACACCTAACTATAAGATATTTGATAAAAATATCTTCCTACAAGATACAAACCAAGTACAGCTCATAAAAGAGTCTTACAAATAACCAACAAGATACAGTGCATCGAATAAACTCAGAATCATGTAATTTAGGAGAAATGAAGCTAAAATAATGAATCAGAACATGCTGAACACATGCTTTAAACTTTCAGGTTTCATTTCATACTTCAAACCAAAGCTTCACATGAGGTAGAATTCAGAGAACATGTACCTGGGAATAAGGGGAAAGCAAAAGAAATGAGGAATCAGTAGAAAAGCAGCAACTGAAATCAATTTAGATCTCAGCAATACAACAGTAACCCCAGTAGCACAGCTCAAAAACCAAACTTTAAAGAACCCGAACTCAAGCCATTATAACCAAGGTGCAGGACTTTGACATTTTCAGAAGCTTTAATAACCAAACGAAATCAGAAGACTCAAAATAAGCAGAATTTGAGCAGTTTTCAAACAAATGATGCAAGGAATTCAGAACCTTTTTTTTCAAGAATTCAGTCATTTTAGCTTTTCGATGTTTTAAATCCCTAAAAAAATCACTTTTGAACCAAAAGTAAGGATGCCTTTATAAGAAAGGTTTTAGGGTTGTAGAAATGAGATAAGTTTTGCACATAAGACCTTTTGAAATTTTCATTTTTGCTTAAGTATCCTTAGTGTAAAAACCAAATTTTCAGTCTAGTCCCAGGCCAACTTCTGGGAAGCTTCCTATTTTAGTTATAGAGAGATGCCCTACTTAGATTTCCTAGATTACCCCCTAATACCCCCGTTTTTACCTCAGAAAACTCATGGATCATGGGTCAAATTGACCAAATGGTTAAACCAAACATGGGCTCAATTCTGACCCAATAACCTAAATCAAACCCCTCTTGGAATGAAGTCTGAAATGGCTTCGAAGCCCAAACAACAAAATGAAACCAACTAAATCAGTAACAAAAGAAAACACAAACGATTCCAAAAACTAAAACCTAAAATAATTGATTGATTAATTAGCACAAATGGGCAGGAAATTAACTAAGTTAATAAATTAAAATAACCTAACTAAACTAAACTAAAGAGACTAACATAAAATATGGGGGAAATCAGAAGCTTAACTATGACATTAGTAAAACTCAACCAACCAAGAAAATCGGAGAAACAAGCTTTTTTTACGGTTTTTAAAAAAAGAAGTAGAGGGAACAAAAAAACAGAAAACAACTCAAACTCCGAAATTTGGTCAAGTTTAAAATAAAGGAAAAAAAGAAGAGGAACAAAAGGTGAAATGAAACCAAAACGGACCCAAAAATGAAGTGAAACTCACCGATTAAACTTGATATTGTACTTGATATCCTGACTCACACAGAATTGATGCTAGTCGCTTGTTCTCTATCAAGAACGAATGAAGGGCATCAGTTTTGCAGTGAATCAGCCCTCTCATCATGAGAAACACAAGCCTGGGTCGATGCATGCCGCCAGGTTCAATAGGAATTGGTTTTGAACTTTTAGGGCTCGAACTCGGATTTAAGATTCGAGGAGCTCTGAGTAGGTTCGAGGGAAAACAATGATGGATTAGGTATGAGAGGGTCATGAGGTCCTGTGGTGTTAATTTGGGGTCATTTGGGACCGGCGCCGCCATCAGAGATGGCAAGGATTTAAGGGCGGCGCTCTAGGGTTCGTGGTCTGAAAGGGGAGACGAAGTGAGAGATGAGTTGGGGGGGGGCAGTGTTCAGACACTTTTATACTAGAACAGACCCTAGTTCACAACTGTTGGATTAAAGGGAGATCAATGGCTCAGATTAAAAATGATCGAAACGGGGTCGTTTGGTTCTGAGCGTAATTTGGACCGGGTTGGGGACGGATTTGGGCCTGTTTGATTGGGCATTTGGACGAGTTTCAGGGAGTTCAATTTGTTCTTGGTGAATCCTAATTGATTTGGCCCAAAATCTAATTTCCTAACTCTTTTGTTCTTTTTTTTTTATTTTTAAAAAAACTTTTTCTTTTCAAAATTGAAAAAATTAAAAATGAAAATCTAAATTAATTCCTAACACAAATTATACTACCAAACTAAATTAATTAATTCTAAATAATAATTATCACAAATAATTAAATACCAAATTAAAAGCAAACTACCAAAATTTGAAGCTAAGAATCAAAAAATGCAAAATAAGTTATTTTTCGTGATTTTTCCATTTTTGTAAAACACTAATTTACTAATTAATCTAAAAAATGTAAAATGTGATATTTTTGGTATTTTCATGTTTCAAATAAAACTTAAACATGCACAAAAATGCAAATAATTAAATAAAATTTTACAAAAGTTCTTAAAATGGAAAATAAGTAACAAAATCTATTTTCTTGGGACTTTATAGGAGTATTTCGTATAGGGCAAAATCACGTGCTCATAGTGGCTGACACCTTGAGTCACCGGGCGGAGAGTTTGGGGAGTTTGGCATATTTACTAGCATCAGAGAGGCCTACGACGATGGATGTTCAGGCCTTAGCCAGTCATTTTTTGAGATTGGATCTTTCGGAGCCTAGTCGGGTTCTAGCTTGCGTAATTCTTTGGTCTTCCTCATTGGATTGTATCAGGGGACGACAATATGATGACCCTCATTTGCTTGTCCTCAAGGACAAGGTTCAGCACGGTGATGCCAGAGATGTGACTATTGGAGATGATGGGGTATTGAGGATGTAGGGTCGGATTTGTGTGCCCAATATTGATGGGCTTCGAGAGTTGATTTTAGAGGAGGCCCATAGTTTACGGTATTCCATCCATCCGGGTGCCGCGAAGAAGTATCAGGATTTGAGGAAGCACTATTAGTAGAGGCGGATGAAGAAAGACATAGTTGGATTTGTAGCTAGGTGCCTCAACTGTCAGCAGGTGAAGTATGAGCACCAGAGACCGGGTGGGTTGCTTCAGCAGATAGAGATTCTGAAGTGGAAGAGGGAGCAGATCACCATGGACTTTGTAGTTGGACTCCCACGGACTTTGAAGAAGTTTGATGCTATTTGGGTGATTGTGGATCGGCTGACAAAGTCCGCTCATTTCATTCCTATGTGTACTACTTATTCTTTGGAGCGGTTGGCAGAGATTTATATCCAGGAGGTTGTTCGTCTGCATGGTATACCAGTTTCCATTATTTCAGATAGAGGCACTCAGTTTACATCACAGTTTTGGAGGGCCGTTCAGTAGGAGTTGGGTACTCGGGTGGAGTTGAGCACAACATTTCACCCTTAGAAGGACGGACAGTCCGAGCGCACTATTTGAATTCTTGAGGATATGCTTTGTGTATGTGTGATTGAGTTTGGGGGGTCTTGGGATCAGTTCTTGCCATTGGCGAAGTTTGCTTAAAACAATATCTATCATTCCAGCATTTAGATGGCACCGTATGAGGCTTTATATGGCAGGCAGTGTAGATCTCCAGTGGGTTGGTTTGAGTTGGGTGAGGCCAGGTTACTGGGCACAGATTTGGTTCAAGATGCTTTGGAGAAGGTTAAGGTGATTTAGGATAGACTTCGTACAACCCAATCCAGACAGAAGTGTTACGTGGACNTATCTTATGTTGAGGAGCTAGTGGCAATATTGGATAGGCAGGTTAGAAAGCTGAGGTCAAAGAATATTGCATCAGTGAAGGTTCAGTGGCGGGGTCAGCCGGCCGAGGAGGCGACTTAGGAGACCGAGTAGGATATGTGCAACCGTTGCCCTCATCTTTTCACTACTTCAGGTATGTCCCTATGCTCGTTCGAGGACGAATGAATGTTTAAGTGTGGGAGGATATAACGACCCAGCTAGTTGTTTTTAGAATTTATGCCCCGATCCCCTATTAACTATTTTCCCCAAGTTTATTTCTGCTATTTTGATTTGCCGGGATGTTCGGTTTTTAGTTTCGGAGAGTTTTGGGACACTTAGTCCCTAAATGAGAGCTTAAGTGTTGGAAAGTTGACCATAGTTGGAACAGTGTGAACACGGGCTTGGAATGGAAATCCGATGGTTCCATTAGCTCCGTTAGGTGATTTCGGGGTTAGGAGCATGGTTGGAATGTGTTTTGGAGGTCCGTAGCTAATTTAGGCTTGAAATGCCGAAGTTTGAATTTTTGAAGTTTCCGATTTGATAGTGAGAATTTGATCCGAGGGTTGGAATATTCCGAGAGTTGCAGTAGTTACGTTATGTCATTTGGAATGTGTGTACAAATTTTTAGGTCATTCGGACGTGTTTTGGTTGGGGTTTTGATCGAAAACGGATTTCAAAAGATTTTAGAAACTAAGGCTTGAATCCGATGCATTTTGGTTGTTTTGATGTTGTTTGAAGTGTTTTGAAGATTAGTACAAGTTTGGATAAGGTTTAGGGTATGTTGATGCCTTTGGTTGAGGTCCTGGAGGCCTCGGGATGAATTCGGATGGTTAACGGAGGAAGTTTTGGAGTTTAGGTTGCTGCAGTAGCTGGTCTTCTAGTATTTTCTCATTTGCAGTTTGGGGACCGCAGATGCGGAGCCGCAGAAGCGGCTATTACACTGCAGAAGCAAACTTTTGGCCATTTCTCCAGGAACAGCATATGCGGTATATTTTCTACAGATGCAGTACAGCAAATGCGGTCATAGGACCGCAGATGCGGATAAGTCACAGATGCAACATTTTTCCGTAGAAGTGGGACCGCAAATGCAACATTTTCTTTCTGCAGATGCGAAAATTGCTGGACAAAATGTTTTAAGTTCTGAAAATGGGACTTTGTCCCATTTTCCATTTTTACAAATTTGGAGCTCGGGGAGAAGCGATTTTCGGGAGATTTTCAGAAGGAACAACGGAGTAAATGTTCTTAACTTAATTTTGGTTAGATTACTCGAATCTATTATAAGTTTTAGCATTAAATCTGTGAATTTAGTTGGAAAAGTTTAGAAACCCTCTCGGATAGATTTGAGGATTTGAGGGTCGAAATGTTATGGGATTTGGATAATTTTGTTATGGTTATACCCGTGAGAGTGCGAGGTTTTTGGAAATATAAATTTCACCCAATTTTGAGATGTAGGCCAGAGGGGCGTTTTGGTCATTTTTCCAAATTTTGCATATTGTTTAGAATTTAATTGTAGAATCGGTTTCTTGAAGTGTTATTTACATTGTGCAATTGAATTGAATTGATTTTGGTCATTTGGAGTCGAATACTCGTGGCAAGAACGTGGTTTCGGATTGATTTTGAGCCAGTTCAAGGTAAGTGGCTTGTCTAACCTTGTGTGGGGGACTCTCCCCTTAGGATTGGAATTTGTGGTAATTGAAATGCTTGTACGTGAGGTGACGGGCGCGTACTTGTGCTAATTGTTGAAAATTCTATTTCATTAAAAATAGCCTTAATTGTATTTTCTTCCTTTCTTGTTTACAATACTTGGAATTTAAGCCTGCTGTTATTCTAGAGAAGCATGTTTAATGACTTAATTGGTTTACATGCTCAAAATGCCTTATTTGGATCATGTGCAACATGCTAGGCTAGTAATACCTGCTTTACCTTGATATGAAACTTGAATGTAATTGTGTATTCTTCGTGTTGTTGTCGTGTGATTACTTTGGGACTACGGATTTTATTCCGGGAGATTCCCCCTGCACATATATTGAACTGGACTATATTGAGGATACCAAGAGATCCTCGGGATACCAAGAGATCGCTAGTATATAATGAGGATACCAAGAGATCCTTGGGATACCAAGAGATCCCTAGTATAAAAAAATAAGGATACCAAGAGATCCTCGGGATACCAAGGGATCCCTAATGTATAACGAGGATACCAAGAGATCCTCGGGATACTGAGAGATCCCCGGTTATTATCCTAGTGATTGTTTTAGCCTCTGTTTTGGTTATTGCATTTCCTTACTTTCTCGTATTAAAATTCTTATTGCTAGTTGCAACTGAATTACGTATCTTACCCTGTCATACTTTATATCTTATTGTATCTCAGTAGGGCCCTGACCTTCCTCGTCACTACTCAACCGAGGTTAGGCTTGGCACTTACTGAGTACCGCTGTGAAGTACTCATGCCCTTTCTGTGCATGTTTTTCATGTGCAAATCCAGGTACTTCTACCCAGGCCTACCATCCTTGAGGGAGGCGACTGCTATAGAGACTTCGAGGTATATCTGTCGCGTCCACAGATCGAAGAGTCCCTTTCTATTCATGTTTTAGTATTTAGCCCTTATGAATTATTTGTTCTATTTAGACATTCCAGAGTATGTATTACTTCTTAGCTTGTGATTCATGGGTTTCTGGGTCTTGGATTTATGTTTGGTATTAAGAGTTAAACATGGTGTATGCCGAGCGGCACATTTAAACATTGTTACTGCTTTATTCTGTTTTAAATTGTTTACCTCCGCAAATTTTGGTTTTTCTTTCACAAATTAGGCTTACCTAGTCGTAGAGACTATGTGCTGTCATGAGGTTCATGGAGGGCGAACGGAGGTCGTGACAGAGTCCTCATATGAGCTTTCTTCCCAGGCAGCAACCATAACCTTTGTTGATCCTTTGTTCTTCTTTGTTTGAACATGTTCCTTCATTCAGCTATTTCCTTCTTCCATTCAATTTCGCATTGAGGGCAATTTTTTATGTGGTGATCAGTCTTCCCACACTTGTAACAACCCTCATTGTTTTGTTTTTCAGGAACCCTTACTTTGCTGTAGCTTCCACTTCTTGAAGGACCATTTCCTCTCATTAGGTACTTTTTGAAGTCCTTTGTGATCATGGTCATTTCATCCTCCTCTAGATCAACACCTTCAGTAATTCTGAATGCCAGGATCCTTAACTTCTTGGGTGCATCCATCTTCATGGTTTGCCTTCTAAGTTCATAGGCAGTGAGATTTCTAATTAGCTCATCCAATTTAAGAGTGGCAATGTTCTTTGATTCCTGAATAGCAGTGATTTTGCTTTCCCAAGAGACTGGCAAAACCCTTGTCAAAATCTTCTCAACTTTGTCTTCTTCAAGAATAACCCTTCCAAGAGACTTAAATTCATTTGTCAGTGTGGTAAACCATGTATACATCTCTTGGATGGTTTCTCCTTCCTTCATGGTGAAAATCTCATATTGAAAATACAGTAGTGTTCCTCTGGACCTCTTCACTTGAGGTGTTCCTTCATGAGCCACTTGCAAAGTATCCCAGATTTCCTTAGCAATAGTACAACTTTGAATTCTACTGTACTCATCTGGACCAAGTCCACACACAAGCCATTTCTTAGCTTTAGCATTCTTTTCCTCTCATGCCGCAAACTAGGGAAGGCACGATTGGCACTCGATACTGTATTCGATCGAGTTAGCCACTAAACATACAAGCTAACTAAACTGGGGGCCCAACAGATCGGGCAGCACAACATCTGAAATACTAAACCTGGACCTTTAAGGTCATGATCTGAATAACAATAAGCCATATATACAAAGGTAGACGAGCCAAAATAATAAAGTACTAGCTGGCCGACGAGGCCACAACTGGAGACATACATGCCTACACATATATATATATATACATGCCAGGCGTGTGGGCTGGAGACTGGAAGCTGTAAAAGGAAACCCAGAATAGTGTGTCCACACTAGCCTCTAAGAGTGTCATAAGCACTGTCGAGACAAGGCCCCGACTATACCCAAACTTTACAACAAAAGTAACCATCCTATGAAAGCTCCGGGAAGAGGTGGAGCTTACCAACTCACAGTTGAACCCCGAAATCATAGTGGAGGAGTCGATCAAAGTCCTTAACTGGACCTGCACGCACAAAACAAAAATGCAGTGTCTCCAGGCAACGGGACATCAATACAAATAAAAATGTACTGGTATGTAAGGCAGAAAGTAGAATCATACATAGCTGATGAAAAAGGTAATAGAGATACCACCTGACATTGAAACTCTGATAGCCTCCATGGCCGACATCCGACCTCAAGGTAATCAAATATGCATGGTATGCTCGTGTAATCGTATGTCGTGAATACATATATATTGATGCAAATGCATGACATATCCAACCAAATGCTAGCAATGGCGGTCTCTTCCGGTAGCTAACCGGTATCATATTGCCAACATGTGGCCATCAGTATAATATATATAGTTTTTCGGGTAAATAGGCCCCTTACCTCCGATTATAGCTCGAAGTCCATGCATAAAATGTCATGTATGATATGAACTTTGAATGTACATAATAGGACATAACAAGAACTTAGCCAACCTTCGCTCATAGGTACTCTTATTCTCATAATCTCATAATCATCTTCGTATTGCATACAATTGTCTTGTGGAACCTCAAATGTTTTCTTTCTTTTGAATAAGCTTGGAAACTTAACTCGACTTTTAGAAAGATAACTTAACTCTGAAGAGATTGATGAAAAGCTTAAGGTGCTTCACTTAGTCCTTATACTTGATTTCTTGATATTTAGTAAAATAAAGTATTTTTAAAAAAAAATCAAGTGTCTTAGTGGTTTAAACATAAAAATTATATTTGAGATTTTTGGAAATCGACGTGTCACTTTAGAGATTTTAAGATACACTTTAACAAGGGAGAATGACTGATTGCAAATAATAAATGCCTTTATTTTCTAGTTACACAACCCAAAGACGAATAAGAATTCACATATATAGACATATAGTTAAGAAAGTCGACAAAATGACATATATAGATGTTGAATACCCTATTTAACCGAATGAGTGGAATATCAACCTAATAGCATCATGAAAATACTTCAGCTACGATCCCAATGCCTTTCACATAAGGTCTTTCTAGCAATAAAATAGTAAAATATCACATTTGATGTCTTAGGAATTTCCCAGAATTTGTGCTAAAAGGAAGGACGGAGCTTAGCCTTAACATACCTTTCCAACGAACGTCCGAATGCCTGTAGTTCCTTCACGAAAGTTGTTCCTTCCGTGCTAAACTTCGAAAACACTATATATATGCAGCTTATACGTACCTATAAACAGTTCATAATTGAGTTAAAATCGGCAGATTTGCCATATGACCCTAACTTGACAAAACATCCGTAGAACTTTGTAAAAACAATCATAAAAGAGTCCCAAGATGATTACCTTGGAAAACCAAGTATAAATATTGAAGAACCAGCAAGAACAACAAATTCCTATCTTCCAATAATAGCTCCAAACATAGCTAATAGAAGGGGGAAACGATTGCAAAGCGTAGAGATTGTGTTTCTAGGCACGGGGACAAACTTTAACGGTAGAAATCGTTAAAAATGTACCTTAATCACTCAAGACCACCGTGGAACCCTCTCTTCAGCTCCCTCACTATTTTTGGATGAAAATGAAATGTTTTTAGGTCTGAAAAGTCGAATTTTCTGACTAATACTACTTGTTTGACCTGACTCGGTTCGTGACCCGGTTCTAGCCTGGACAGTCCGCGGTAAACAAGTCATAACCTTTTACTCCGATGTCGGATTGATATGAGGTTTTTTTTGGTTGCGAACTAGACTTGTAGACCTTCTATTTGATAGGTTGTGGATCCCATAACTCATTATATATTGGGATAAATGATCTGATACATTTGACCCAAAGTTTAAAAAAGTTATTAGAGAAATTTACGATAACCTTTGCCGACCTTTATTTCGCAACTTGCGTGATTCAAAAACTTAACATGTGACCCGTGTGATATTATAATACCTCATAACACATTATTCTTAGCATATTAGACACTCTTGGTCTTATTCCACATATGTAAATTAACTTAAACCTTCCGAACGTGCGGGGTGCCACCCGAGCCATTTCTTTAACCACGAACCTTTGTTTAAGGGATTCCTTTGACCTACAGCTTTGGTTTAGTACCTTGATATTACCACAAATTTTAATTCTTATTCTCCCAATGTGCTACACCCAATCATATATACCTAATATAACCAAGCCACGTTACATATATTACGTACGAGAAAAAGAAAAAAAAACATGGGGTCTCATAGTCTCCCCCCTTTAAGAACATTCGTCCGCGAATGGGTCAAGTCAATTCCTTGGTTTCATTTTTTTCCCCCGCTAATACGTTATTTGCAAGGCTATATCTGTTACATTTGCAAAGCATAAATCAAATTCTGAAGATTCCAACTACTAGGCTTCGTATAGCTATCTCGCAATAAGAAATTTAAATTGCACTTTCAAGTCATTTAAAATCCAATTAAGTTGCTGTAAAGAAATAATTTCCAATTATTTAAATGAGACTCACATTAAGTCGTAAATAGGTGGGGGTACTTCTTCCTCATTTCCTCCTCAGCTTCCCACGTCATTTCCTCGATGTTATTATTTCGCCATAACATTTTCACGGAAGCCACTTCTTTAGTTCGAAGCTTTCTTACCTGTCGATCTAAAATAGCTATTGGTACCTCTGCGTAAGATAAGTATTCAGAAATGTGAATATCGACAATGGGCGTAATACATGAAGGATCTCCAATGCACTTCCGCAACATAGATACATGAAACACAGGATGGACTGCTTCCAATTCTGAAGGCAAATCAAGCTCGTACGCCACCCTACCAATCCTCCGAATTATCTTATACGGTCCAACATATCTGGGGCTGAGCTTACCCTTCTTTCCAAATCGCTTGACGCCCTTCATAGGTGATACTTTCAGGAAAACCCAATCTTCCACATCAAATTCTAAGTCTCGTCGTCGAACATCTACATAAGACTTCTGCCGACTTTGTGCTGTATGCAGCCGGTCTCTAATAAGTTTTACCTTTTCCATTGTTTGCTGGACTAAATTAGGACCTAGAAACTCTGCTTCCCCGACCTTGAACCAACCGATCGGCGACCTACACTTCCTCCCGTATAGTGCTTCATACGGGGCCATCTGAATACTAGCTTGGAAGCTGTTATTATAAGCGAACTCAATAAGAGGTATATGATCATCCCAACTTCTTTTAAAATCTAGCATGCAGGCACGTAACATATCCTCAACTGTCTGAATAGTACGCTCTGCCTGTCCATTAGTTTGCGGATGAAAAGCGGTGCTAAGATTTACCTGCGTGCCTAGACCCTTCTGAAAAGATTTCCTAAATTGTGCTGTAAATTGAGCCCTCGATCAGAGATAATAGATAATGGTACTCCGTGAAGGCGAACAATCTCTCGAATATAAAGCTTGGCATAATCCTCGGCTGAATAAGTCGTCCTAACTGGCAGAAAATGAGCAGATTTTGTAAGACTATCAATAATTACCCAAATAGAATCATACCTCCGTAGAGTGCAAGGAAAACCAGTGATGAAGTCCATATTTATCATGTCCCATTTCCATAATGGAAGTTAAATATACTGAGTTAGGCCTCCAGGCCTCTGATGTTCGGCTTTAACTTGCTGGTAGTTATGACATTGGGCTACCATCTCCGCGATATCTTTTTTCATTCCATTCCACCAATAAATATGTCGAAGGTCACGATACATCATGCGTAGGATAGTTCTGTTCATGTTTCCGCAACTGTCTGGAGGCGTACGCGATAACCTTACCATGCTGTATAAGAACACAACCTAGGCCAATTCTCGAGGCATCACAATATACAACATAACCCTCGGTGTCATCCAGAAAAGTCAAGACAGGTGCCATCATAAGCCTTTTCTTTAGCTCCTGAAAATTTGTTCACATGCCTCAGTCCACTGAAACTTAGCTCTCTTATGTATCAGTTTCGTGAATGGTGCAGAGATAGAGGAAAATCCCTCCACAAACCTTCGATAATATCCTGCCAAGCCTAAAAAGCTATGAACCTCTGTCGGATTCAAGGGCCTTGGACCAAGTCATCACAGCTTCAATCTTTTGGCCATCAACCTTGATACCATCACCGGTAATAACATGACCAAGAAAAGCTACAGAAGTTAGCCAAAATTCACATTTAGATAATTTAGCATATAACCTGTAGTCCTGGAGAGTCTGCAATACAGTTCGCAAGTGGTCTGCATGCTCGGCTTCTGATCGTGAATATATCAGGATGTCGTCAATAAACACAATCACAAATTCATCCAAGAATGGTTTGAATACCCGGTTCATAAGATCCATAAAGGCTTCTGGGGCATTTGTAAGCCCGAAAGACATGACAAGGAATTCAAAATGGCCATACCTCGTCCTAAATGTTGTTTTTGGGATATCAATATCCCTGACTCGTAGCTGATGATAACCGGATCGCAAGTCGATCTTCGAAAAGCATTTGGCACCTTGTAACTGGTCGAACAAGTCATCAATCCGTGGAAGATGATACTTATTCTTGATAGTGACTTTATTTAGTTGCCTGTAGTCAATATACATCCGCAAGGAGCCATCTTTCTTTCGAACAAAGAGCACCGGAGCACCCCATGGGGATGTACTTGACCTAATAAAGCCTTTATCAAGCAAGTCCTTCAGTTGTTCCTTCAATTCCCTTAGCTCTACAGGAACCATTCTGTAGGGAGGAATGGATATAGGCTACGTATCAGGAAGCAAATCTATAGCAAAATCGATTTCCCTTTCGGGGGGAATTCCTGGAAGCTCGTCAGGGAATACCGTCAGGAATTCATTCACAATAGGAACCAATTGAAGAGTCGTTGGCTCCTTATCTATATCTATGACATGAACCAGATGGTATATACAGCCTTTAGCAATAAACTTCCGAGCCCTAAGGTATGAAATAAAGTTACCCTTGGGCGTGGCTGCATTACCTTTCCATTCAAGGACAGGCTCACCAGGAAAATGAAATCGGACCAACTTTGCACGACAATCAATATTAGCATAACAAGCTGCCAACCAATCCATACCCATAATGACATCGAAGTCTAGCATAACCAATTCAACTAAATCAACAGAGGTTGGACGGTCATTAATTAACACTGTACAACCTCGATAGACATGATTAGCTATAATATAGTCGCCAACTGGCGTAGACACCTCAATTGACTGTGGCAACAACTCAGATCTCATGTCAAGCTTACCAGCAATAAATGGAGTAATATATGAAAATGTAGAGTCGGGATCTATCAATGCATAAATGGCATGAGAATGTATTGTCAATATACCTGTGACAACATCTGGGGATGCCTTTAAATCCTGTCGGCCTGTGAGCGCATAAAAGCAGTTCTAGCCACCACTAGAACCTGAGGTGTCTCCTCCACCTCTCCCCCTACCATGTCCCTAAGTAGACTGTGGACCTGGTCGGGGAGCACGGACTGAAGGTGAAGAGGCTGCAGTGGATCCTGAAGTCTGAGCTGGTGCACCTCTGCCTAACCCCGAGCACCGGCTAATAAAATGTCTTGTCTGCCCACAATGATAACATGCACTCGAACCCTGTCTACACTGCCCGGTGTGCAGCTTACCGCACTGAGTACATGGAGGAGTAGGATGTCTCATTTGTGTGGAACGCTCCTGTCGACGGCCCTCAGGCTGGCCTGAGTTCTACCCTGATCCTGACTGAATATAACGATCAAACCGCTGGCCCTGCATCTATATTGGGAAACTACCTGCTGATCGAGGTGGATATCGATGGAGTGGGGGCCTAAAATCACCTCAGGTCTCCCTATAATACCCCATAGTACGATCCCTCTTACTCTTCCCCTATCACTGCGAGTATCACGAATCCGATGGGAAAGGTCCTCTGTAGTCTGAACAAAAGCCTATATGCGGGAAATATCTACATCATCCGATAACGATGCTACCCTACAGTCCCTAATCAGATAATCTCCCAAACCATCCACATAATGATGAACTCTAGACCTCATGGTACGTACGATATTTGGTGCATACCTCGCCAAAGAATTAAACCTATGGCTATAATCCCTCACACTCATATCCCCCTACTTCAGGCTAAGAAACTGGTCAAGACGGGCCTCCCGAACCTGCCGTGGCAAATAATGGGCTAAAACGTCCTCAGAGAAGTCCTCCCACTCTGCTGGCGGAGCATCAGGTCCTCTAGATCTCTCACATGCCTCATACCATAGGACGGCTACATCACGTAGTCGAAAAGAAGCCAACTCCACAGCCTCGGCGACGGAGGCATACATCACCCTTAATACTCTATACATTTGGTCTATAATGTCCCGGGGATCCTCAGTGGAACAGGATCTTGTAAATATTAAAGGGGCCAAGTGAAGAAACTCTCGTACCGTTGAGCTTCCTGTCCGATCTCTCCGGGCACCTGCTTCCGACTCTAGCTGTCGCTCGTGAATAGAAACCATCCTAATCAGCAACCGAACTGCCTCCCTCATCCCCTGCTCCCCAATCTCTAATGGCGGAACAACAGGTGCTAGAGGTCCTGTGTCTCTAGCTGCCTCAGGTACTAATGGAACTGGTAAGGCTGGGGGTACTGCATCTCCCTAGGCTCCAACAAGTGCTGGGGAAGCTGAAACTAGGGGTACTGGAGACTCACTGTATGCCTCTAAGGGAAATCTATCCCTCCGACCCGGTGGGGAACGACTGGTACCTTCCCCGGATCCATACCTATCTCTTGTTGTGCCATCTCCTGAGCGTAGGTAACCTGTTAGATAAGAAACACAAAGAACGATTTAGATTTCATATGTTCTTATAACTTCGCTCTATAGCACGATCTATTAATTGAAAGAAACATAACCATTCCTAAATGCCTCATAGCCTCCTGATTATAAGTGTGGTGCACAACACACCCATAAGCAAGACTCTACTAGACACGGCTTGTAGACTCCCTGGGATACGACCTGCTCTGATACCAAGTTTGTCACGCCCCAAACTAGGGGAGGAACGACTGACACTCGATACTGTATTCGATCGAGTTAGCCACTAAACATACTAGCTAACTAAACTGGGGGCCCAACAAATCGGGCAGCACAACATCTGAAATACTAAACCTGGACCATTAAGGTCATGACCTGAATAACAATAAGCCATATAAACAAAGGTAGACGAGCCAAAATAATAAAGTACTAGCTGGCCGACGAGGCCACGACTAGAGACATACATGCCTACATATATATATATATATATATATATACATACATGCCAAGCCTATGGGCTGTAGACTGGAAGCTGTAAAAAGAAACCCAGAATACTGTGTCCACACTAGCCTCTAAGATTGTCATAAGCATTGTCGAGACAAGGCCCCGACTATACCCAAACTGTACAACTAAAGTAACCATCCTATGAAAGCTCCAGGAAGAGGTGGAGCTTACCAACTCACAGCTGAACCACGAAATCCTAGTAGAGGGGTCGATCAGAGTCCCTACCTGGACCTGCATGCACAAAACAAAAATGCAGTGTCCCCAGGTAACGGGACATCAACACGAATAAAAATATACTGGTATGTAAGGCAAAAAGTAGAATCATACATAGCTGATGAAAAAAGTAATAGAGATACCACTTGACACTAAAACTCTGATAGCCTCCATGGCCGACATCCGATAATCAAATATGCATGGTATGCTCGTGTAATCGTATGTCATGAATACATATATATTGATGCAAATGCATGAAATATCCTACCAAATGCTAGCAATGTCGGTCTCTTCCAGTAGCTAACCGGTATCATATTGCCAACCTGTGACCATCTGTACAATATATATAGTTTTTCGGGTAAATAGGCCCCTTACCTCCGATTATAGCTTGAAGTCCATGCATAAAATGCCATGTATGATATGAACTTTGAATGTACATAATTGGACATAACAAGAACTTAGCCAACCTTGGCTCATAGGTACTCTTATTCTCATAATCTCATAATCATCTTCGTATTGCATACAATTGTCTCGTGGAACCTCATATGTTTTCTTTCTTTTGAATAAGCTTGGAAACTTAACTCGACTTTTAGAAAGATAATTTAACTCTGAAGAGGTTAATGAAAAGCTTAAGGTGATTCACTTAGTCCTTAT